AAGTCTTTTACTGGGTGTCACGTCCAGCTCCGTCCGATCCTCGTGGGTGCCACGCCCACCTTATTACCTCGTGTCAATTTCTGATTGTCATCACCTGTTGCCTATTCCTTTTGCCTTGTCTTGTGTATTTAGTCCGAGTCTCAGTCAGTCTTCCCCAGATTAGTCATTGTAGTGTCATGTATTGTTGTACTGTTTGGTGTTTGTTGCCAGTCCGACCATTAAAGCCCTGATTACCCGTAAGTTCGGCTTACTCTCCTGCTTCCCTGCTCGCCTTCTTGCTGCATCGTGACAGAATGACTAATCTCCAAGAAAGCACAGCACGGCAGACCGAGCACCAGAGGCTCCGTCTGCTGCAAGAAGCAGTGTACTGGCGCTTCCAACCCGAAGTGCTGGAGGATCCCGTAGTCCTGGAGCTGGCTACCCAGGGCGTGGACCTCCTCACTGAGGAGCACCCGCCCGGACAGCAGTACCCGCTCGAGCGGGTACGCAAATGTCTACGCCGCCTGAGTGAGCGTCTCACGCGGCGGAGAGACGAACGCGTTGCCCGGAGCTTAGGCGACGTGTTCGCGGCGGCTCCGCCTTCCGCCGCAAGCGGCAAGAAGAAGCGGAAAGAGAATAAAGTGCAGCAGGAAGAGACCCCGACTCTCTTCCTGGGAGCTTGCTCTCTGCTCCCCGCTTGGGAGTTAGCCAGTGCGCACGAGGGCTCACCGCTCGCCTGGGACGACATCGCTGCTGCCCGCCTGGCTGGCTTCTACCCGGAGAAGCCGCCTCCGTTGGAGGCGTATCCATACCGGCCAGAGCGCCTGCACAGCAAGGGGATCAGCGCCATCCGGGATGCTATTCCCCGGGTCCCTAAAGCCCTTAAAGGGGAAGTCCCTGGCTTACCTGCTCCGGACCTGCCAGCAGCGCCTGCTGCTGCTGCCGCCGCACTGCCTGTCCAGCCTGACCCGCCTGTCCAGCCTGCGGTCCCTGCAGCTGACGCCGCTCTGCTCACGGCACCCCCTGCTGCTGCTGCCGCCGCTATGCCCGCGGCTCCGCCTGCTGCAGCTGCCGTCGCCGCTCCACCCGAGGTGCCTGCTGCGGCGCCCCTTGCTGGCCACGTGATGACGGTGCCCGCCGAGGTGCCCCCTGCTGGCCACAAGCCCAAGGTGCCTGCCGCGGCGCCTCCTGCTGGCCACGTGATGACGGTGCCCGCCGAGGCGCCCCCTGCTGGCCACAAGCCCAAGGTGCCTGCCGCGGCGCCTCCTGCTGGCCACGTGTCGGCGGCGCCCGCCGAGGCGCCCCCTGCTGGCCGCACGCCCGAGATGCCCGCCGAGGCGCCCC